ATCCTGCCGGCATTGCCGGGGTAGCGTTTGTTTGGATTGGGAATGCTGTGGGCGATGCTGACGGCATTCCCAGGATAGCCTTTGTTTGGATTGGAAATGCCGCTGGTGATCCCACCGGCATTCCCGGAGTAGTCTTTGTTCGGATCGGGAATGCTGTGGGCAGTCCAGGATTTGGGAGGCGGGAAGGTAGCATTGAGTCTGCATCTTTCCCCAGGGAATTCCCTTTGGGAATTTGCTCGGCTACCGCGAGCTCTGTGTGGCCGACAAACCCCAGAGCCTTCTCCCGAATCCCGTTTTTTTTCCCCATTTTCCGCAGAAACCAAAGCCGAAGCCGCGGCCGTCCCTCACGAAGGCCACGTGGGAGAGCAGCTACTTCGGGGTTCCCTTGAGCAGCGTGGTGACCCCGGAAAAACCCATTCCCGTTTTTATCGAGAGGTGCATCGAGTACATCGAGGCCACGGGTAGGAGCTTCCCATTTTTCCGTGAGGAAATTCCAGGAATCCTGGTTATCCCGAGGTCCCTTTAGGGCTTCTCCATCCCTCCTTGGAGCTGGAATTCCTGCCTGTTCCGGGAGGGGATGGGAGGAAAATCCCTTTGAGAGAGAAGTGTGTTCAGAGAAGGGGAAGCCGGAGGAATTCCGGTGCGGAGAAGAGGATGCTGGGGCAAATCGTGGGATTGGATGGGAATTGACGAAGTTAGGGATCTGGAAAAGCTTTGGGACTAACGTGGCAATGTCAGATCCGAAATGGGATTTCTCCGCTCAAGGGATGAATCCTGGGAATGCTGCGGGAAAGGAGGTGTCCGTGTGTAAGGACCTGGGAAAATGGATAGAGATTCTTCCCTTTTCCCAAATTCCTCATTTTGGGAAGCAAAAAACGCMGACAAAAAGATGTATTTGCTCCCAATGTTGCTCATCCGAACCCCGCCTTTCCCTACGGATTTCCACATTCCATCCAGCAATCTGCCCAGGAGCCGGGAATGCCGCAGAGGGGATACAACTGGGTTTCATTTTGGGGGGTAATTAGGAAAACTCAAGGGTGTTCCCGGAGGGTTTTCCTAGCTTAGGGAATGAGGGGCGTTTTCCAACTTTTCCTCCTCCTCCCGCCCCCTTCCCRCATTCATTTTTCCCAATTTCCAGGCTTGAGCACGGAGGGAATCTACCGGGTGAGCGGGAACAAGTCGGAGATGGAGAGTCTGCAGCGCCAGTTTGACCAAGGTAACGGCTCCGGCATTCCCGCCTCCGGCATTCCCGGATCCACCCCATAGGGAATGAAACCCAAAATTCCCAGGAAACGGGGAGCGTTTGGGTGGTTTGGGGCTCCCACAACTTCTTTTTGGGAAGGCGCTGGGATGCGTTGGAGCCGTTCCGGGACCCGCCGCTTTTCCCCTGGGATTTTCCCATTCCCAAGCCCTCCGGAGCGCTCAGCGTCCCGTTGGGCGCCTCTGGACACGGGGCAACTTCCCCGTTTCCCCTTGGTTTTGTTGGGATCTTCTCCTTCCTGGTAACTGGGTCTTTCCCACCCTTTCCCCTCYCCCCGCCCCGCTCCCACTCGGAATTCCCACTGGGAATTCCCGCTTCCCTGGCAGACCACGGGCTCGACCTGGCTGAGAAGGATTTCACGGTGAACACGGTGGCCGGGGCCATGAAGAGCTTCTTCTCGGAGCTTCCCGATCCGCTCGTTCCCTACAACATGCAGCTGGAGCTCGTGGAAGCCCACAGTGAGTATCCGCCTGCTCCAGAACGCCCTTTCCCAGCYGGATCAAGGGCTCCATCCAGCCGGGAATGGCCCAAATCGTCCCCTCCGCACACCCCGAGGGTGTCCCGACGCTCCGGAATGTCCCAACAAGCTCTTTCACTGCCTTGGGAATTCCCTTGGGAATCTTGGAATTCCATCGGGAATCAGATTCCCGATGGACGGGGAACGCTCCCGGGCTCCTTCCGACTTGTTCCTGRAGCCAGGAAGGGAGCCGCTCGCTCCCGGCGTTCCCACTTCCCACGGGAATATCCGGAGCAAGAGGAGCCAATGTCGATTCCACGGTGGATTTTCCAACACCGCAAATCCCAACAAACCATTCCCAAAAAAGAACGGTCGGATGAGCTTTGGTTTTTTTTTTTTTTCCCCCCGTTTTCCCAGAAATCAACGACCGGGAGCAGAAGCTCCATGCGCTCAAGGAGGTGCTGAAGAAATTCCCGAAGGAAAACTATGAGGTCTTCAAATACGTCATAAACCACTTGAACAGGTGCAGAAAAGCGGGAAGGGCTTTGGGAATACCGGGAACGGGGCTCCATCCCGGTGGCCTTGGGAATCCCAGGAAAGGAATTTCCAAGGAATCCTTTGCTCGGAAAGGATCGAGTCCGTCTCAATGACTTTGGGATTCCAGCACAGTGGCTTTGGGAATCCCGGGAAGCAATTCTGGCATTGGGAATGSCAGGAAGAGGCTTCCATCCTGGTGGCTTTAGGATTGCAGCCCAGTGGCTTTGGGAGTCCTGGGAAGCGATTCTGGCATCAGGAATACTGGGAAGCAGTTTCCATTGCGGTGGCTTTGGGATTCTATCCTGGACRCTTTGGGAATACTGGGAAGTGATTCCTGTTGGTGGCTTTGGCAATGCCGGGATGGGCTTCCGTCCCACCGCCTTGGGATTCCAGCTTTGGGAATATTGGGAAGGGGATCCCGATGCTGGTGCCTTTGGAATCCCATCCCGGCGGCTTCGGGAAGCGCCGCGAGGGGCCCGGAATGCCTCGTGCCAGGCGGGAGGCGGGCGGGCGGCTCCCGGCATTCCCGGCGTTCCCGGCATTCCGTGTTTTCCCGCAGGGTGAGCCGGCAGCAGCGGGCGAACCTGATGACGAGCGAGAACCTTTCCATCTGCTTCTGGCCCACGCTCATGCGGCCGGACTTCAGCTCCATGGATGCGCTCACGGCCGCCCGCTCCTACCAGGGCATCATCGACCTCTTCATCCAGCAGTGCCCCTTCTTCTTCCCGCCGGGAACGCCGGGAACGCCGCCCGGCAGCCCCGCGCAGCCGCCGCCCTGCCCGCCGGGAGCCACCGTGCCGTGAAACGGGAGCGCGCTCCAGCAAAGGGGCGCGGGAAGCGGCGGCGTTCCCGGCATTCCCGGCGCAGGCGGCCACGGGAGGCAGCAGCGTTCCCGGCGCTTCCGCGCGGCACCCGGGACAGCCGGCGGCGGCACGTGCTGCTCTCATCCACCTTGGAAAACGCGAGCAACACTGGAAAAGGAAAACAAAAAAAAAAAAACAAAAAAAACCCCATGGAATTCTCCCCCAGCTTCCCAGTTTTCCGGCCGTTGGGAAGCGGGCCCGGCTCAAGGTGGAACTTGCCGTGGGCTCCCCCATTCCCGAGGGATTTGGCACTTAGGAGCGGYGGGAATTGGCAGCTGGATTGTTGTGGGATGCCTTTGGAAACACTACAGGAAAGGCGCCGGAGCGCTGGGATGAGGCTGAGTTTTCCAGCTGGGAAGATCCCAAGGATCTCAGAGGGGCAGCCGGGAATCCGCCGGGAAGCTCCACTGGGAATCTCGGCCACTGCTGCAGATCTGGAGCCACCTCGACCTTCCTCCTCCTCGCTGCCATTCCAGAGGTTCTCCCAGCTTCCGGGCACGTTTTCCCTGGATTTTAGACGGTACCAGCGGGAGCGGACGGGGCCCGTCCCCCGCGTCCTGTGTCTCTTCGCACTTTAAGTCCTGGAGCCGCCAGGTTTTTGGGAATTTCGGAAAGCTGCCGGTCTCGCTCCCCCTGCTCCTGCCGCCGGATCCATTATTTATGGCCTGAGGGAAGAGCTGCCGGATTTTCTCCTCTGCTTCCCATCCCCGCATCCCTGTAAATAGCAGACGGGGGGGGTGCAAGGGGAGATTTTTAAGGATTGATGGGAAAAATCCGTCCGGCTCCAGCCGGGATAACAAGGAGCTGCAGGTTGGGAAGCTGCAAGGATGGAGCAAAGCGGGAAGAGATCCCGAGAATCCCCCCAAATCTCCGGCCGCGTTTCACCCCTTCCAGCTGCCGAAAGGAGAACGATCCCGAGGGATGGAAACGAATTCCCAKCCGGAAGACGCTTCCTGGCGCCTTTTGCGGCATTCCAGCTGGATTCCGCTCCCAGTTTCTCCATTTTTTTTTCTTTCCTTGTTTTTCCGATGCCCTTTTTATCTTCGTACCCCATTTTGGGGCATTTTTCCGCCCTTTTCCTACTTTCCAACACCTGGATTTCACCATTACACTTAATCCCCTTATTTTATGGGGAGGGAACAAGGCAAATCCTGGAATTCCGCCGGAATATCCTACAGAAAACCCCAGCGGCGCCTTAGGGGTGGGGGGACAAACAGGACCCCGGAATGTCCCGATCCCACCCATCCATTCCAGAGGGAAGGGGATGGGGGGGTGGGAATCCAGCCGTCACCGCCACTCCGGAAGTGGAAAAAGGGGGATATTTTCTTGGGAAGCGAGGCAGGAAAACCAGGAAGGCCACGTCTGTGTACAAAAVAAAAAAAAAAGGCAAAAAAAAGGCAAAAAAAAAAAGAAATAAAAAGCATAACAGTGAATTTTGGGCAATTTTAAGGCCACTCGGACGCGGGGTTATTCCAGAGCGGGATCCTCCTTTCTCCCTTTGCGACATTCC